TGCCCATTTTTATGGTTATTTCTTGATAATATGCTAAAAGAGAGTGGATTATTCATGCCTCCCCTTTTTAGACCATTTAGGGTAACTTCCTGATGTTTCCATGGCATCTGTAAACTGTCATGGCACTGGCGGGAATGTAGCAGTGAGGATGACCAGAGGTCATTCTCATCACCATCTTGGTTTTGGTGGGGTTTGGCCAGCTTCTTTACTGCAACCTGTTTTATCAAGCAAAGTCTTTATGACTTGGATCTTGTGCTGACCTCCTGTCTCATCCTGTGACTTAAAATGCCTTAACCATCTGGGAATGCAGCTCCATAGGTCTCAGCCTCCTTTTGTTACAGGAAAGGGGTCCCGATCCAGACCCCAAGAGAGGGTTGTTGGATTTCATGCAAGAAAGAATTCAGAGCCAGTCCACAGTGCAAAGCAAAAGCAAGTTTAAGAAAGTAAAGTGGTGAAAGGACAGTTACTCCAAAGACAGAGTAGGATGGAAGTAGCCTCTAACCTCAGGTCAGTCAATTGTCCTTGCCTTTTATTAAGAGGGGCCTCTAACCCCTCAAAGTTGGGCCTCTAACCCAATCCCATTCTTTACTTGGGTACCCCATCACTTGCCCAAAATCATCCAATCAGTGCTGCAGTCTATTTCCTTGGGGTTGGGGGAGTTTCTTCAGTATCATCCTTTCCGTGGTTTACCAGAAATGTGTTATGGGACCTCAACACTTACCCAAAGGTAGCCGTTGGGTCAGGGTTTTTGTCCCTTCTGTGTTCACCAGAAATATTTTACAGGAAAGGGGTTCAATCCAGACCCTAAGAGAGGGTTCTGGAATCTCATGCAATAAAGAATTCAGGGTGAATCCTCAGTGCAAAGCAAAAGCAAGTTTATTAAGAAAGGTGGTGAAGGGACAGCTACTCCATAGACAGAGTAGGATGTTCCTGAAAGTAAGAGGAGGAATGCATCCACCCTAGGTACAATGCTTGTATATATGGGGAGATGTACTCTGCTACAAGCGTTTGTGACAAAGGATTTTCTTAATGTGGGAAGTAGAAAAGATCCTCTTCAAAGTTTCCTTTCTTGTTAAAGAATAAATCATAAGTGTTAGAAATAATAGTTTGTTTTAAAGACTTTCTTCAAAGCCTTCTTGCTTTTTGCTAATACCTCTTCGTTAAGCCCTATCCTGCATAGCTGTTACACATGCTCACAGGCACATAGTACATTCTGTATCCTTGTACATTAACCTAGATATTTGTGCTAGACATGCTCACAGGCAAGTAGCACATTCTATGTCCTTGTACCTTAACCAAGATATTTATGCTATTACTTTTCCAAGTCCTTTCACAAGCAACTTCCGGTCCCTTCCTTACTTCTTCTTTTCCTTTTGTTCTCCATTGCCTTTACCTATTCAAGAAAGCTTTAAATTATTACCCAGTCAGGTTCAGTTTCAGGTTGTGAGGTCTGGCTCCAACCAACGGAGATCAGACACAGCGATAAGAATGATTCCCAAAGGGATAAATGTCTGCTTTTCCTTTGTTCATTGTACTCTGGTGGAAGGTGGCTATCAGGAGCACCCTTTCTGCAGAAAGTAAAATTGCCTTACTGAGAGATCCTTTGTCTCAGTGCTTTTTCTTTGCAGCACTGAGCATCTGTTTCCAACACTTAATTATTTTTCAAGAATCATTATTATTTTTAAAGCAAAATTAGGAATGCCTTTGTTCTCCAGCTATCAGGATATCTGGATACTCCCAAGTCTGGGTCTGTTTTGTAAACAGTATTAATTTGTTCCCTTAACCATAAATATCTAGAGGCTAGGAATGCTTAACTGTCTGAGAATGCAGCCCAGCAAGTCTCAGCCTCCTTCTCCTAGCCTTTACTCAAAATGGAGTCACTCCAATTTGAACACCTCTGACACTTTTACCTAGCCTCTATTCAACATGGAGTTGCTCTCATTCCAATGCCTGTGACACCCTTAAGATACACCTCTACAGATTCCCCAGGATTCTGCCTGTAAAGATTGGCAAAATTATGCAATTTGGAGAGTACTGTATCTCCTCAGGCACACTTTGCACTTCATTTTTTGTTTTCTTGAGAGGGAGTCTCGCTCTATTGCCCAGGCTGGGGTGCAGTTGCACAATCTTGGCTCACTGCAACTTCTGTCTTCTGAGTTCAAGCGATTCTCCTGCCTCAGCCTCCCCAGTAGCCAGGATTATGGGCATGTGCTGCCACATGCAACTAATTTTTGTTATTTTTAGTAGAGACAGGGTTTCACCATGTTGGCCAGGCTGGCTAGTCTTGAAGTCCTGATCTTGTGATCTACCTGCCTCGGCCTCCCAAAGTGCTGGGATTACAGGCATGAGCCACTGTGTCCGGCCTGCACGTCACTCTTTGAAGCCTTACTGGAACATAAATCAAATTGTAGTTTGCTGTAAGTTTAAAAGCAAAGAAGGGGCTGGGAGCTATGACTCACACTTGTAATCCCACCATCTTGGGAGGCTGAGGTGGGAGGATCCCCTGAAGTTGGAAGTTTAAGACCAGCCCCATCTCTACAAAGTTTAAACCCCATCTCTACAAAAAATTAAAAAATATTTTTTAAAAAGGAGTCCAGGCATGGTGGCTCACACCTGTAATCCCAGCACTTCGGGAGGCTGAGGCAGGTGGGTCACTTGAGGCCAGGAGTTCAAGACCAGCTTGGGCCACATGGCCTAACCGTGTCTCTACAAAAATATAAAAAGTAGGGCTTGGTGGTGTGTGCTTGTAGTCCCAGCTACTCAGGAGGCTGAGGCTGGAGAATCACTTGAGCCTGGGAAAGTAGAGGTTGCAGTGAGCTGAGATCATGCCACTGCACTCCAGCCTGGGTGAGTGAGACCCCGACTCAAAAAAAAAAAAAAAGCAAAAAGGGGTGGTGGGAATGGGAATAGGTCCTGAGCAACATCAGTGGACTATTGGAAGACGTTCTTCAGGCAAAAGGTGATTAACCAACATTCGAAGTCTCATTGTGACCCTCCCTTCTACTCCCTGCCCCAGCATCAGTAGCTGGGACCTCTCCACAGAAGCACGGATCCAAAGGCCACAGGGCCCCTCCCTGAGTTCAGACACTACGTCAGTCCAGCAACCCACCCCTCGTCCATAGGTATGTGTTCAGCTCCCCAAGGCCTCTCTTCCAATCTCCTGCCTTTCAACAACTCTAGCCACGTCTCTGTGTTCCTGCTTTGCACTTTGCCCCATGTGAGGTGGGATCAACTACCATCACCCAAAACTGGTTTGGATGTTGAAACTGATGACACTGCAGACACAAAGAGGTTATGAAAAAGTTTACTATTCACATGAGGCTTTCTAGGGCAAGCGAAGCGGGCACCCAAGCCAGTCAGTTGGGCTTCAATGAAAGGAGGGGCAAGTGGCTCTGGGTTTTCTTGTGGTCAGGAGAGCTCAGTGCATTTGTGACAGCAAGGATTTGCATAGTTTGAACTTCCCCTCTGGTGCAAAGAGGAAGTGCCTAGGTTTTATCAGCTTGTCCAGATGCAAGCACGTTAAGGGGAAGAGCTTGAAAACTGTTAGCAGACAAACATCAAACATGGGGAGACGCTATTCCGCTCCCCCAGTCCTGGGGTGGAGGCTACTTAGCAGTTGCTACCTCCAAGACACTTTGGCATTTTCTTCTTTTCAGCTACTTAAATATAGGACACTTCTTTGTAAGTTCTCTGCTAAAATAACTGGTGTGGTTTCTGGCAACTAAAACCTGGCTGATATTAAAATCTTGCTGTTCTTAGCAGGGTAAGCATCAACTTTAAAAGGCGTGGTAGATGGCATGCAAATATTTACTCCCCTTTTCCTCATCTAGCTAATAAAGTGAATGACTAGGCCGGGTGCGGTGGCTCACGCCTGTAATCGTAGCACTTTGGTAGGCCGAGGCGGGTGGATCACCTGAGGTCAAGAGTTCAAGACAAGCCTGGCCATCATGGTGAAACCCCATCTTTAAAAAATAAATAAATAAAATAAAGTGAATGACTGACAAGCATCTAGATCCTCTGGATTCCACTTCTTCATTACATTTATGAGTTTATAGCTTCTGGCTTCCCTTATTAAGCAAAATCAACAAGATTTAGGCAACAAGGAGCTTATAATTTCCTATAAAGTGCATGTCTTGGTAACTGTGTGTTAGTATATGGAGAACATCCTCATTCTTTTAAAAATTGTTGCCTGGTATTCCTTCATAGACGTACTAGAGTTACTTAACCATTCCTTTACTAACAGCCATTTGTACTGCTCCTGTTACCACAAAGTGGTCCTGATGCAGTCCCCAAGAGACAGTTCTTGCATCTCGCTCAAGAAGATAGTTCAGGCGAGTCCACAAAGTGAAAGTAAGTTTATTAAGAAAGTAAAGAAATGAAGAATAGCTATTCCATAAGCAGAGTAGCCCCAAGGGCTGCTGGCTGCCTATTTTTATAGTTATTTCTTGATTATATGCTAAACAGGGGGTAGATTATTCATGAGTTTTCCAGGAAAGGTGTGAGCCATTACCAGAACTGAGGGTTCCTCTCCTTTCTAAGATCATATAGGGTAACTTCCTGATGTTGCCATGTCATTTGTAAACTGTCACAGCGCTGGTGGGAGTGTCTTTTAGCATGCTAATGCATTCTAATTACAGTATAATGAGCCGTGAAGACAACCAAAGGTCACTTTCATTTCCATCTTGGTTTCAGTGGGTTTGGCCAGCTTCTTTACCACATGCTATTTTATCAGCAAAGTCTTTTTGACCTGTATCTTGTGCTGACCTCCTATCTCATCCTATGACCTGGAATGCCTAACCTCCTCAAAATGCAGCCCAGTAGGTCTCAGCCTTATTTTACCCAGCCTCTGTTCAAGATGGAGTTGCTCTGGTTCAAACACCTCTGACACTCTGAATTTTTGCAGATGAAGAAATGGAAGCTTTCAAAGATTAGGTGGCTCACTCTAAGTAACATCATGTACCTGGCAGGGATTTCTATAAAATCATAAGATGTCAGAGACCATGCTTAAGAAATATTTTTACTTTGAAATACTTTAAGCAAACAGTTAAAAAGAATCCACCACACTAGCCTGTTAAAATCTTAACATTCTGATGCCTCTGCATCAATTTTTAAAAAGAAAGAAAACACAGCTGAAGCTCATATGTACCCTCCCCAAACCCATCATCTTCTCCTGCCTTAGGAAGGCAGAATGGTGACTTGCACACATCATTCCAATACATGATTTTATGCTCAATTCATATTAACTGAATCCACAGAAAATAGATTACTGTGCAAAACAATAACACTTTCTATATGTTCACAATGCTTACATGCCAGACACTATTCTAAGCATTTCACATGCATTACTTCACTGACTGCCCCCCACCCCCAATCACACTGTGAGATTGCCACTACTTTCCCATTTTACAGAAAAAGTGAAAAACAAGTTGAAGTAACGTGCCCACAGATACACAGTATGCTTAATTTACACAACAGTAACTTATATGTAGCTTCTGCAACTTTCTCTGCATAATTTTTTATATATCTGTGTTGAGACGTAACTCTTTCATATTCACTTTCCAAGGACCAAAACCAACCTATTTATTTATGCATTCTTCTGCTGATGAAATGCAGGCTTTTCCCAATCTTGCTACCTAAACAATACCTCCATGAATAGTCTTAAACTCATTTCTCTGTTCACATGGCGCTCCTCTAGGATGCATCCAGGAGTACAGCTGCTGGATGGTTAAGTGCACACAAACTTACAAGATTTTGCAAATTGCCTGACACAGTATTTCTCATAATTTCTACTTCAGAAGCAGTGTAAATTACCATTGTTCCACACACTCAGACACACGGGCTTTCAAAAATGTGCCAGCTTGATGAGTGTGAGATGGTCTGTATTATTTTACATTTCCCATGCTTTGTCCTCTGCACATGCCTCTGGTCGGAGTCTTGTTCAGTCTTAGGCTGGGATGAGGCAGCAGGGGTGGGGCAAACCTCACTGAACAGGTGACAGAAAGACCTTCAGAGACCTATTCCAGCCCATCTGGCTCTCCTCAACCCCAACTTCAGTTCCTCCAAGGGAGTGGGGAAAAGGTGGGTAAGGTTGGAAAGAACATGAATATTCTCCAGGCCAGGATGAGATACAAGATGAGACCTGATGCTCAGACTAGACTAGGGCAATCAGAAACTTGTCAACAAGAGCCATAAAGCTCAGAACCACCCACAGCCAGGTTCCTAACCAGCAGGTGTGTCCCTGTGGGTGGCTTCCAGTCAACATTTCATTCCACAGCCCCTTAAAAAAACCCCAACCCTGACTTAGCCAAACTAATTTCAGTTCCTGATTCCTTAACAGGGAATTTTGTGCAAGATCTCTTCTGCATGACAAACAGATAAATAAGCACCCAACCCTGGTTTCCAGAGTGCTTGGTCTGGCTACGGTGATGGGCAAAACCAAAAACACAACCACCTGACACAGGCATCAAGAGAGGTGGGGCCAGGGGCTTAGAGGCATGAGGGTCAGACAAGGTCAGGCCTTGAAGAATGAAGGGCTGGACTGGCACAGACAGGGGTGTGGCACTCCAGGTGAAGGGAGGCAGAACAAGATGGAACATGCCAGGGGGTTGGGGTGGGGAGGGGACAGGAAAGCCAAATCCAACACTGATTCTGCCAAAATCTTTAGTAGTTAGCACCAAGTAGTCAGGCTTTTACTTTTTCCCCTTTCAGCTAATCTGAGTTTATTAATATTTATATAATTATCACATAGTACTTATGGAACTAAAATTATTTGAAAACTCAGGTTACTGGACAAATGGCATCAGTATAATCCCAAATATAAACGGCTTACTTCAGGATAAAATAATTTGTTTTTCACTTCATTCTTTGCACATTTTAAAATTTGATTAGAATGTTTAAAAATAAGCACATTTCATTCTATAAAAATGACAATAGGTCAGGCACAGTGGCTCACGCCTATAATCCCAGCACTTTGGGAGGCAGAGGTGGGAGGACTGCTTTAGTCCAGGAATTTGAGACCAACCTGGGCAATAAGGAAAAAAAAATCAAACTTTTGTCTCTACAGAAAAAAATATTTTAAAATAGCTGGCATGGTGGCAAACACCTGTAGTCCCAGCTACTCGGGAGGCTCACGTGAGACACCTGAGCCTGGGAGGTCAAGGCTCCAGTAAGCTATGATCCTGCCACTGCACTCCACCCTGGGCAACCCTGTCTCAAAAGAAAAAAAAATACAGGAAAAATATCCCTATACCAGGGCAGGAACTTTAAAAGGTGCCCCGTGGCAAAGGGGGCAGAGATGGGGGTAGGGGGTGCTAAAAATGTGGACAGAAAGGGACACTGCCATGGTTATAACACCAACTGACATGGGAGCTGCACCCCTGTGAGGGTCCTGGTCCTAGAGGTCAACCACCTAACAGAGAGCCTTGGTAAACCAAGCCCTCTCTTACCAATCCCAGGAGTCAGGTAGCACAGGCACTCTAACCTCACACATAAGGAATTGATGCAGAGGTTCATTAACTTGCCCAAGATCATTCCCGCCAAGAAAAGGCACACCATGCCTGGAACCCAGATCGGATGATGCCAACACCCATCCAGTAACTCTGGCCTCTTCCCAGCCACTTCTAGTGCCAGTTTGGGACAGTGAAGGGACATCTTCACTGCCATGAGCAGCTGCTGCCATAGGAGGGCAAGAGGATGGCAGAACCAAGATGACCAAACCTTCCTGAGGACAAAGCTGAACAGGCATCAGAACACCAACAGGAGACGTCTGCCCTGTCCCAACCATCCCGTGATACCACTACACTGCATCAGAGCCTTCATTCTCACCTGCTCATGGCAATCCAGAGAGGATAAGATTACTCTGTACTCTACTAAAAAAGACGTCTTCCAGGTTGGTTTCTCTTCATTACAAGAAATGACCAGCTCCATGAATGGGCCCCTATTAATTGCAGTAAAATGCAGTTGGGGATACTGCTCTACTATTAGACATTAAGACATTTTATCCTTACATTTATAATCTGACATCTTCAATAATCAGAAGCAATGATTACTCACATACTTTAGAAATATCAATCCTTTGCCTTTAAGTAATTGATTCTTACTTTTTGCTTCAAGACAAGTAGGTGGGCCAGTGAGGGAGCTCCTCCCAGAACAGACCACCTTTTCTCCTGAGGGCAGCAGGCACATGCACTGGTTCCTTTGGGTCGAATCTGATGCCAGCACCAGATCTCATACATGGAGAGGCGGTATGTGAAGGTGAGGGGGGTATGTGAAGGTGAGATGGGGTATGTGAAGGTGAGAGGGAGTATGTGAAGGTGAGACGGGGTATGTGAAGGTGAGAGGGGGTATGTGAAGGTGAGATGGGGTATGTGAAGGTGAGACGGGGTATGTGAAGGTGAGAGGGAGTATGTGAAGGTGAGACGGGGTATGTGAAGGTGAGAGGGGGTATGTGAAGGTGAGATGGGGTATGTGAAGGTGAGACGGGGTATGTGAAGGTGAGAGGGAGTATGTGAAGGTGAGAGGGGGTATGTGAAGGTGAGAGGGGGTATGTGAAGGTGAGATGGGGTATGTGAAGGTGAGACGGGGTATGTGAAGGTGAGAGGGAGTATGTGAAGGTGAGAGGGGGTATGTGAAGGTGAGAGGGGGTATGTGAAGGTGAGAGGGGGTATGTGAAGGTGAGAGGGGGTATGTGAAGGTGAGAGGGGGTATGTGAAGGTGAGAGGGGGTATGTGAAGGTGAGAGGGGGTATATGAAGGTGAGAGGGGGTATGTGAAGGTGAGAGGGGGCCTGCAGTGTGCAGAGGCTAGAGATGTGCACACAACAATGCTAAGCGTTTACATCTGCTGAGGCTGAGGAGTCTACAGAAAATTCAGAAATGGGGTGAGGAGGAGTCTGATTTATAGGAACTAGCAGCAAGGATAACTGCATGAGAAGCCCTTCAGCCATTCCATTTTACTGAGTCTTTGGATCTGCGGTTAACCCTTGTAAAACGTAATTCAGATTCAGATCATATCACTCCTCAACTCAAAACCGTCCAAAAGCTCTCTGCCTCTCTCTGAGGCAGCTCAAGCCCCCCTAACGACCCAAGATGCTCACATCGCTCCCTGACCCCTCTCCTCCCCTTCCAGCTGGCTCCCTGCATTCCATCCCAGGGGCCTCCTTGCTATCCTGAGGACATCAGACAAGACCCAATCTCCTCTGCCTGCAACTCTCCCTAGAGCTACCTGGCTTGCTCCCTGGCCTCCTTCAGGTCTTTGCTCAAATTTCACCTTCTCAGTTGAGGCCCTCCCTAATCAGATTATTAAAACTCACAATTGACTTCCCAATCCAGCACGCCCTCTCACTCTTCTCTGATTCACTTTGTCTACTACACATACATCACCATCCAGAATACTGCATATCCCATTTGTTTGTCAACTATAAAGATCCAAGATTGCAGGATTTTCATCTGTTCTGGTCTCTGCTGGGTGTCCAGCAAATACACCGGTGCCTGGTATAGAGGAGGTGATCAGCACATTTCTGTTAAACAGATGGACCGCTGCTGCCTGTGCAGGCCTGTGGGATAGGAATGGCAACAGCGTACTGATAGAGCTCCACACGCCAAGCGCTTGAACCCAGCATCTTGCTGTCCTCCACCAGCCACTGAGACCACTCTAACCCCCTAGCAGATATCCAAAAGCCAGCTAGAAAGGCTAAAGCCCCAGCCAGAACTCCCCAGGGGGCATTTGGGAAGACTAGGAGTTCTTGATGCTGCTGCTTTTAGTCAACAGAATAGGCATGGTCATAGGCCGAACTTGAAGATAAATCTAGGATCCCACTGGCCCCTTTCCAGAAGCCACAGCCCATGATGCCACAGACATTTTATCCAACCACAAAGGGCAATGGTTTTTCTCTTCAGAGTTGTGGAAGGAGACCTGACCAGGGGAGCTGCAGGCTATGGTACAGAGGCCACTCCTAGGGGCCCAAGTCTCCAGAAGGGCTCCAAAGAACATGCTGCTGCGCTTCCCCAGCGTCACATCCCAGCAGGCAGGCTGAAGACTCCCCGAGCTTTTAAATCCTTGGGATTCTGTCACTAGCTTCCAAAATAGAAAGGGCTGGGCCCTTTGTGAAGGTTTCCTCACACTGCCTAAAATTAAGGGTTCTCTAGCAGGGGACTGAGAACTCACTCCCACTTTCACTGTCAGACCCAGGCTAATCTCTAATATGGTTTTTCATATGCCGAGCCAGATTCGAAGACCATCTAAAGGTCTTTCCACACTTGCTGCATTTGAAGGGTCTCTCTCGAGTATGAAATCTCTTGTGGCTAATGAGTTGTGAACTCTTGCTAAAAGTTTTCCCACATATGCTACATTTGTGGCACTTTTTCCCAGTGGTTATGTCCTGGAGTTCATCAAGCCTGGAGCTCTGGTCGCAAGCTTCTTCACAGTCTTCGAGAGGCATTTCTTCACTTGGTTTTAATTTCTGCAATCTCAACTTTGTGTCCTGAGAGGAAGATAGCCCTGGTGGACTATGTTCAGCCTGTGCTGCTCTGGTGTGTTTACTCTGGTGACTGGAAAGGGTCTGTCTCCCAATGAACTCTTTCCCACACCACTGACACTTGAAAGGTCTCTCTTTAGTGTGGATCCTCTGATGGTTAACAAGGCGATAGTTTCTATCATATGATTTCCCACACAGATTACATTTATAGCGCTTCTCTCCACTGTGTATTCCCTTATGATCTAAAAGGGTTCTTTTACGTGTAAAGGTTTTCCCACATTCTTGACACCAAAAACGTTTCTCACCAGTGAGGATTTTTGGTTCCATGTCTGGAGTCTTTTCACTTTCATGGCAATCATACTGTTTCTGAAGAGAGTGAATCCTCTGATGTCGGTAGAGATTGGAACTCCACCTGAAGGCTTTCCCACACTCCCTGCACTTATACGGCTTCTCTCCAGTGTGAACTCTCTGATGGATGAGGAGGAATGAGTGATTGCGGAAGGCCTTGCCACACTGGCTGCATTGGTAGGGCTCCTCTCTGGTGTGACTGCTCTGAGGAACCTGGAACACTCTGTCCTGACTAAAAGATGGCCCACCCTCAGGTTTTCCTTTCATGGCATGCTTCTTCTTATGAACAATAAAGGCTGACCTATAGGCAAAGTCCTTCCCACATTCACCACACTGGTATGGTTTCTCACCTGTGTGAATTCTCTGGTGGTCAATGAGAGTCTTCTTTCTAGTAAAAGATTTCCCACACTGCTGACACAAAAATGTTTTCTCCACAGGGGGGGCACCCTGGGGCTGACTGTGGTCAGGAGCTTGCCTGAAGTCTTCACAACATTCATCTTGTTTGTAGAATTTTTCCTCCTCATGCAACCTCATATGACGAGTAAAGTTTGATCTCCACCTAAAGGTTTTCCTACATTTGTTACATTTATAGGGCTTCTCCTGGGTGTGAATCCTTTGATGTTCAAGAACATATGATTTACAGTGGAAGGATTTCCTGCACTGGCTGCAGTCAAAGAGTTTCTCCCCACTTTGGTCTCCCAAATGATGATCAAACCCTGAGCTGTAGGTAAGAGCTGCCCTATACTGATTCAATTCAAGAAATTTCTTCTTAGCATGGGTTTCCTGGTGCAGACGGTAGGCTGACAGACGTCGGAAAGCTTTCTCACATAAATCGCATTTATAAGGCTTCACTCCAGTGTGAATTTTCTCATGCCGTGCACAGTTGGAACTCCACCGGAAGGCTTTCCCACACACTCTACATTTAAATGCTTTCTCTTGACTGTGAAGTCTCTGATGATATGCAAGATGGGAACTATGACTGAAAGTCCTTCCACAGTCACTGCACTTAAAAGACACTCCCACTGTGTGAAGACTCTGCCCATGTTGGTGATGAGAGCTAAGGCTGAAGTCTTTTCCACATAAGTCCTTTTTGCTCCCTTTCAGTCCAGTATGAATTCTCTGATGTATGCTGAAGCCCCCAATCATGTGTCTGAGCCCCTTCCCATATTTCTTGTAGTCATAGTGGTGTGAACTCATTCTAAAGTGTTTGCCACAGCCATGTTTAAGGGACTGCTTTCTTCCAGAAACTCTCAAATATGTAACATGTTTTAAGTCAAGACTATTACCTCCTGATACTTCAGAGTCTTTTCCCGTCCTGTGACTGAAATCAGTCTCTTCTTTCTTAACTCTCACTTGTATGGGGTTTTCACATTGATCCTTCAGCCTGTTCTTCTGTTGAAAAGATTCTCTGAGCCCAATTCCCTCAGAAACACTTGCTGCAGGACATTCTGATGGCACAGCTAAGGTTTCTGCTCCTTCCAAAGGTTCCTGATTTAAGATGAATTTCTTTGTTTTAATTTGAAGGTCACCTCCTGACAAAAAATAAAACAGGAGAGAATGTACTCTTTTTCCATACTGGGAACTGCAGAAATCACCAAAGGGCAATAAAATGCCTGGGTGGTGAGGCTTTTGCCTGACTGCCAATACCTTTACAAAATAGTCAAACATAAGGCAAAACATGGAACATTATCCCAGATAACAGGGAAGGGAGGAGAAAAGCAAGATGGGCAGGGCAGGTAGAGATATGCAGACATCACATCCAGCACGGAGATAAAAAGGATTAAAAAGAAAGTGTTAAACAGCCGGAGTAGGAGAAGAATCATGGCATTATAGAAAGGTACCCAAAAGCCAAGGGGTGGGGCTCCAAGGAGCATCTGGCTGAAAGGGCTAGAGATCAGCCTATTACAGAAGGAAGGATCAAGAAAAGAAAGAACAGGAGTGGGATGAGGACTCCTAAGAGCAGGAAGGGGTGAGTACAGGGGATTCAGCAGGAGTGCAGGCCAGAAGTGAGGGCACAGGGCTGAGGAGGAGCATCAGTGAGTAGAAGAGAGGAACAGTGAAGCCCTCCAGCAGGCAAGAACTATTATTGAGAGGGCTGCTAGGGAAAGGGGATGGGAAAATAGACCTGGCCAGAAATGAATGACATCTTAAAAGCCAGCCAGGATGGAATGCAAGAGTGGCCCAAGCACCCTTAGCAACACTGTTAAAGATCTTCCTTCTAGCAAACAACGGAATAAATTCCCAGTGACATACCTCACCTTAAGAAAGAGAAAAGTAAAAGCAGGAGGAGCAGGACCTGGCAGGTTCTCTGGAACTCACCTGTAGGGGCGGCACCTGGATTCCTCTTAGGCTGAGCTACCTGCACGTTCAGGCCCCATGGCTCCCTTGCTTCCAACCAGGAGATCAGAGCAGGTTTGGTGAATGGTCCCACTGCAGAAGAGAAGGGAATGGGAGATGGGAAGGGAGATGGATGACACAGAACTACTCTCTAGGACTTCTGGGCCTGAAGTCCTGATGGGCAGGTGGGAAAGGCCAGGAAGGCAGGCAGCAGAAGCTAGCGAAGGAACCCCAGTCATTTCAAATAGTCCTGAGCAGACAGAGATAGGAGAGGTTGAGAGAAGTTGGCAGCAAAAAGATTACTAGAATTTTCCGGAGGTGAGAACATGGCTACTTAATTGGTTGCATCAGCCAAGATTTTTTGAATGCCTAAATGGACTAGGAACTTAAAACACATTACCTTTAATCCTTTTTTTGTTTGTTTTCAAATAGGGTCTCACTCTCTTACCCAGGCTGGATACAGTGATTTGATATTGGCTCACTGCAGCTCTGACCTCCTGGGTTCAAGCAATTCTCCAGCCTCAGCCTCCCAAGTAGCTGGGATGACAAGTGTGAGCACCACATGCCTGTATTTTTGTATTTTTTGTAGAGACAGGGTTTCACTGTGTTGCCCAGACTGGTCTCAAACTCTGAGCTCAAGCTATCTTCCCACCTGGCCCTCCCAAAGTGCTAGGATTACAGTGTGAGCCACCACATCCAGCCACCTTTAATCTTTATAACAATCCGGAATGGCAGGCATTATTCTCCCCGTTTTTCAAAAGAGGATACCAAGGTGCTAGATTAAGTGATCTGGTTAGTAGTTACAGAGTCAGGATCTAAAACCAGGTCAGGTCCCTTTCTATGCAGCAGAAAACAACCCAAGAAGGCAGAAATAAAGATGGATATAAGCATGAGGATATTAATTACTTACCCAGGAAGGCCATGTTCCTATAATTCTCCAGCATCACATCCCTGTACAGGTTTCTCTGAGCTGAGTCCAGCAACCCCCACTCGTCCTGGGAGAAGGTCACCTCCACATCCTTGAAAGTCATAGTCTCCTGCAAAAACACTGTGCCCTAGAGCTGGTCCACAGCTCCCAGCTTTGGGGTGGAAGGGGAGGGAAGGGGAATAAACTGGCTGTGTGTGAGTAAAGGATGGACCTGGCAAAGGTGAAAGGGAAGACCATCACCTAGCAGAAGAGCTCTGGGCACAAGGGGGATTATCTGGTCTTTGGGACATGGGTCTTTGGATGTGAGGTTACTAGACAAGCGAGAAACCCAGGATGCGGGAGCTGCACTATCTCATTAGGCAGTGACATGGAGACATCAGGAAGGAATGAACGTCCTGTGGCTCACCTGCAGCTGGGCTGTCAGGGACCTGGTTGCTGTTACCTGGTCTCCTGGGCACCCTTCTCTCTGGAAAAGGGCAGGCATCTGGGCAGCAGGAGGATCTGAAGGGAAAAAGCCATGAGAGAGTGGCTCAGCTCTGAACAGCCCACTGAGAAGCCCATTTTTCCCCCCAGTAGAGGACTCCTGGACCCATGAGCAGGTACAGAATGTTGTTAAATACCCACCTCACATGTCCCCAGTCTACTGGGGCCAGAAAAGGGGTAGCGGGAGGGGGTGTAAAGGGGGAGGAGTGAGCCACATATGGGTCATAGAATGGATGGAGAGGACACAGAACTAAGAGCCAGGACAGAAGAAGATTCTCATGAGAGGACAGATGTGAAAAGACAACACTACAGGAAATGCAAAAGGTGTGGCATAAGGCTGGGGTCTTAAGGCCAGGCAGCAAGTACCGGATTGCCCAGCCAGGAAGTCACGTGCTTCTATTTCATAGGGAGACTCCAGGTGGTCCCCCAGAGCAGAGCCGCTCCTGAGAGGTGAAGCAAGGGACCATATCTGTGCAGATCGCAGGGCTCCTGTACCCATCCAATGCACATCTGGGCTCTGGACAGGGCCCGGGTCCTGGCAAGAAGAAAATGTTGTGAGAGGATCTTTCTGGGAATCAGAAAGCAAACTCAGAGAAGAGGCCACATGGCCGATCTCCAAAGAACAAAGACCGAGGGGTGGGTAAGCCAGGTCCTTCATTACTTCCAGACAGGAGAAAAGAGCAAGAAGAAAGCCCAGGGAGTACCTCCAACCACCTCAGCCTCCTCGGGCTCTAATGAGAGCCATGGGAGAGTCCAGGTAGAGACAGACTCCAGCTCAACACAAGGAAGCACATGGTAAGTCAGTACAGCACTCTTGTCGGGCCTCAGATGACACAGTGCCACCTTCCCACTACCCCTCAGTTCCCACCCAAGGCCTGCAACTTAGAAATGAGAGAGAAGGAGTTAGTTCTTGAGAATTAAATTCATAACAGTTCACAGCAGAGATACAGTCAAGTAATACCTACTATCAAGCACTGCTCTAGGCATCGATAAACAAAGTGATCTCAAAGAGGCAGGCTAGCTCCCAAATTGTAAACTTGCCTTTAATAATAACACTGATAGAGAGGCAATGCCAATCACGAGAGTCAGCTCTAAAACCATAGAAGAAAAAGTCTCCAGTGTAAAAAATGACAGTGTTCACCTAAGTAGAGACGAACAAAGAGGAGGTGTTTGCCCTGAGATTTCAAATAACTCTGGTCTCTGAGGCAAGGCTGTCCCACACACTGAGATGAGTACAAAAAAACTATAATTTGAGATTTTTCTGGTCCTGTGGCCGAGACAGTCTCTATAGTGAGATTTTTCACACTGTGATAATTTTGCTGAACCATAGAATGATTCTGTAACTTTACATGTATCTTAAAGCATTTCTTTTCATTTTTCAAATTTGGGAGTGCTTTCTCCCAGCCCCCATTGTCTTCTAAGTGGCTTTCAACCAGGTAAGCCTTTTCCGCTCATGTGGAAATGTTTTCATGGATTTAAAAAATTGCAACTAGCTGTAAATGAGTTGAATATAACCAAGCCATGATTTTGTAACTACTGTGTAGCTTATTTCCTTTTATAAATTATTATTAGGTTCTTTTGAACATTTGTTTTGGTGAAAATAACAAATGTTCTTTAAAATTTTTTAAAATAGCACCCCATGTTGGGCAAAAATATTCTCTAATAGTTATACCTTGTGTTTTATTTATTAACATTTACTGCTGGTAGACCCTGTCCTGATATTTTACTTAATTTTTATAATAAAGTTTTAGAGACAAGTATGTCAAATTTGTTTCAGAATTTTATTTTTTAGATGGAGTTCAAGCAATTCTCCTACCTCAGCCTCCTGAGTGCTAGGAATACAGGTGAATGCCACCATGCCCAGCTGATTTTTGTATTTTTAGTAGAGACTGGGTTTCACCATGTTGGCCAGGATAGTCTTGATCTCTTGACCTCATGATCTATTTACCTCGGCCTCCCAAAGTGCTGGGATTATAGGCATGAGCCACCGCACCCAGCCACAACTTTCATTTATACATGAATTATGTATGCAGATTGTGTGTGTGTGTGTGTGATATATATACATATATTTATTTATTTATTTATTTTTAATTTTTATTTATTTTTTTTTTGAGACAGAGTCTCATTCTATTGCCCAGCTTGGAGTGCAGTGGTGCGCTCTCAGCTCACTGCAGCCTCTGCCTTCCAGGTCCAAGCAAACTTCCTGCCTCAGCCTCCTGAGTATCTGGGACTATAGGCACACGCCACCACACCCGGCTAATATCTGCACTTGTAATAGAAACGGAGTTTCACCATATTGGCCAGGCTGATCTCGAACTCCTGACCTCAAGTGATCCACCCGCCTCAGTATCCCAAAGTGTTAGGACTACAGGCATGAGAATCATATATTTTTATGTAAATAAAATTTTAAAGAAGGCTAAAAAAGTGATAAATGCTTTTTTAAAAAAACTGAAACAATATAGTTCAGCTCCCCCACGTGCAGCAGAAGGAGCAGGAAGAACGCACTTGAACTGACCTGCTGCCACCCCACTGCCAGGCCTGGGACTGCCAATTCTGCCAGGGCCAGGCACATGATAAGCACTCAAATATTTACTGAACAAATTGTCATGATTAGACCATTTCTGAATTTTCTTCTCAATGAACAGAGGCTCTGAAAGGTACAATGATGTGGTCAGGGACACTGAGGTTGTGGAATGATGCCTAAAATCAAGGTCTTCCTATTTCTCAGCTCAGCACTGCCCCTCAGCACTCATGTCCATCTTCCCTGCCTCCCATCTCACACACATAGAACAGATCCCCAAAAGCTTACTGAGAAGTGCTCAGCACAGTGGTTCACATCTGTAATCTCAGCATTTTGGGAGGGCAAGGCGGGTGCAGCACCTGAGGTCAGGAGTTTGAGATCTGCCTGGCCAAAACGATGAAACCACGTCTCTACTAAAAATACATGGTGCTGCATATTTCAAAAAAAAAAAAAAAAGCTTACTGAGAAGAAAGCTACATGTGCCTGCAGAGTGCTCTTCTAACATGTACTCTCCCACTGAGAAGTCAAGAGCCCTGACCCTAAGTGCTGTCCCAACCCCTGCCACTTTACAGGGCTATGGTTAGTCTCAACTAAAATTAGATAATATGTGGAGATGGACTTTGTATACTGTAAGTCACTGTGTCCAAAGACTAGTTACTGGCCATTTTTGTTTTGTTTTTGAGACAGGGTCTTGCTGTGTCACCCAGGCTGGAGTGCAGTGGTGTAATCACAGCTCACTGCAGCCTTGATCTCCTGGGTTAAAGCGATCCTCCCACCTCAGTCCCCCAAGTAGCTAGGACTAGTCACAAGCCACCATGTCCAGCTAATTTTTGTAGAAACAGGGTTTTGCCATGTTGCCCAGGCTGGTCATGAATTCCTGTGCTCAAGCAATCTAACCACCTTGGACTCTAAGGGCTTGGATTACAAGTGTGAGCCACCATGCCTGGCCTAATTTTAAAATTATTTATAGAGACAGTAGGGGGTCTCCCTATGTTGTCCAGGCTGGCTTGAACTCCTGGGCTCAAGCAATCCTCCCACTTCAGCCTCCTAAAGTGCTGGGAATACATGTGTGAGCCACAATGCACAGAATTACTGTTATTTACGGAGACTTGCTGACCCTATCTGGAGCTGATATTCCTTTGGGTATATCCTAAAGGGTCCATGGCTCAGGGTCCCATTCTCAGCTGCTCAGGAACCATGGGAAGAAGGGAAGACTTCCTCTGCATTCCTCTCTACTGACAGTTCAGAGGGCCAGCCCCATCCCCAGACAAGCTGGCTAACCAGCAGGCAGAGTGCCCTGGGCACCATACACTTGCTCACACTCACCCTATGTGATGTCCCATCAAGGTCCCTCTGCAGCTCCTCCAGCAAGGCCACAGCCTCATCACCACTCTCAGGGTTATGGAGCTGCACCCAGACCCGGAGCTCCCCAGGCAGGATGCTCAGGAACTGTTCCAGCACCAGCAGCTCCAGGATCTGTGCCTTGGAGAGAACATCAGGCCTCAGCCACCAGCGACAGAGTTCCCGGAGCCGGCTCAGAGTTTCTAGGGGCCCAGAAGACTCATGGTAGCGAAGCTGTCTGAAGAGCTGGCGGAACAGCTCCTGGCCAGGGCGGTTGAGTGTCTGTGGTCTGGCAGCCTGCACTGGAGTATAGCTTTCATCCTCTTCTTCCTTCTTAACTGTCTGAAGCCGCCCTCGTTCCCTTGAAGACTGGGCCTGAGCTGGATAGACAGCATGCCACCTGCCTGGAGGCATCACTCCTGTTCAGGGACTACCCAGAAGAGCACAAGCCAAGTCCACCTTAGATGTGGGTCCTCAGAAGTATCTTCTCAGCACTGCAGTGAACAATGCCATTTGCTGAGCCATCAGAAGTCTTTGACAAGTGACTGAAATAATCAGCATTTCTGTGCAGGAGGGGATGAGAGAATGATATCCATTATACATGGTGCAGTTGGATCCTTGTGGTTGGGATCATCTTTGCATGTATGAGAAGAGCATTTGCACAGATGTACACGCCAGGATCAAGCAGACCAGGGCTAGGTTGTCCCCTATTGGAGTAAGGTAAGAAAATATCCTACATTAAAACATATGCTGGACTTGTACATTAAAACTTTGTAAAAAACAGAAAGGGCTGATGAAAAAAGTCAGAGAAGATCTAAATAAATGAACAGACATACCATAGTCATGTACTGGAAGATGTGACCCAGTAAAGATGTAAATTCTCTCCAAATTGATCTATAGGTCTAATTCAACTCCTACCAAAATTTCAACAAGATCTTTTTATAGATGAATAGACAAGATTATTCTAAAATTTATGTGAAAAGGCAATGGAATTAGAATAACTAAAATTATGACAGGTCAGGCAAGGTGGCTCACACCTGTAATCCTAGCACTTTGGGAGGCCAAGGCAGGCGGATTGCCTAAGCTCAGGAGTTTGAGACCAGCCTGGGTAACATGGCGAAACCCCATCTGTACTAAAAATAAAAAAACTTAGCTGGGCATGGTGGTGTGTGCCTGTAATCCCAGCTACTTGGGAGGCTGAGGCATGAGAATCACCTGAACCTGGGAGGCAGAGGTTGCAGTGAGCAGAGATCACACCACTGCACTCCGGCCTGAGCAAGACAAGACTCTGTCTCAAAACAAACAAGCATGCCAACAAACAAACAAATAACAATTATGACAAGAATAAAGTGGGAGGGATCAGCCTAAAAACAGTCTACCTGATTTCAAGACTTATAGCTACAGTAATGAAGACTGTGTAGTATTGGTGGAGGAAGAGACACATAGATCAATGGAATAAAACAGAAAAACCAGAAACAGAACCTCACAATTATGCCCAACTGTTCTGTTTAATATTATATGTGATTTTACTATTACAATATTTTTAAATATCTCAAATGAGCAATTCAAAAACAAAAGAAAATGCTGACTAAGAATCCCCTAGTTGACTTTATGACCCAACAGTGGGTTACAAATTATAATTTGAAAACTACTAATCCAGCTTCCCACTCAACTTTTGTATTTCTTTTCATAATTCATCATAAAATGTGGTGTCCAAGGGTTCAAGCCACTTTTAGGAGATAACACTTCGGGTGGCCAGGGTGGGTGGATGTCTTGAGGTTAGGAGTTCGAGACCAGCCTGACCAACATGGCAAAACTCCAACTCTACAAAAAATACAAAAAATTAGCTGGGAATGGTGGCATGTGCCTGTAATCCAAGCTACTTGGGAGGCTGAGGCACAAGAATTGCTTGAGCTTGAGAGGCAGAGGTTTGCAGTGACCTGAGATCGTGCCACTGCACTCTACACACCAACCTGCACAAGAGAGCGAAACTCCATCTCAAAAAAGAGACTATCTAGAGTATATTTTGAACTCTGAAGGATGTTTGTTTCTTCATACCTGAGGAAGGAGCTTGTGCTACATATCACATCACTATGTAGGAGTCCACACCTGCAATATACCCAACTGATTTTTATTTTTTTTAAGGCAAGGTCTCTTGCTGCTGCCCAGGCTGGAGTGCAGTGGTGTGATCACAGCTCACTGTAGCCTCAAACTCCTAGGCTCAAGCAATCCTCTTGCCTCAGCCTCCTGAGTAGCTGAGATTACAGGCATGTGACACCACACCCAGATAACTTAAAAATTATTTTTAGAGATGGGGCCTATATTACCTAAAACTCCTGGCCTCAAGCAATCGATCCTCCCACATCAGCCTCCTAAGTAGCTGAGATTACAGGCATGAGCCACTGAGCCCAACCTACAATAGATTTTTGATAAAGATACAAAAGCAGTTCAAAAGAGGAAGGGTAGTCTTTTCCCCAAATGTTGCCGGAGCAACTGGACATCCATAGGCAAAATAAGGAAAGCTGACTGAAATATCGCCTCTTATACACTTAAATTCAAAATGGATCACAGACTTAAATGTAAGCCATAAAACTATATAATTTTTAGAAAACAACATTAAGAGGCTGGGCTTGGTGGTTCACACCTAGAACACTTCAGGAGCACTTCGGGAGGCCAAAGTGGGAGGATCATAAGGTCAAGAGATTGAGATCATCCTGGCCAACATGGTGAAACCCTGTCTCTACTAAAAATACAAAACCTAGCTGGGCATAGCGGCACACAACTGTAGTCCCAGCTACTTGTGGTGGCTGAGGCAGGAGAATCGCTTGAATCCGGGAGGCGGAGGTTGCAGTGAGCCGAGATCGTGCCACTGCACTCCAGCCTGGGCAACAGAGTGAGACCCCATCTCAAAAAGCAAACAAACAAAACCACATAGGAGAAAACCTTTAGGACCTAGGATGAAGCAAATAGTTCTTAAGTTTGATACCTGTGATATGATATACATACACGTTGGTCCTTATCCATGGTTCATGGCTCGTAACTCCCATAGCCCTTGTTATTTCCTGAGTGACTAAAACAATAAGCATATCTTTTGTTAAATTATTTGGTCTTTGTCCTTGGTTCCTGAAGCAGCTTTGGAACTTCAGAGTGATAAAGGTAAGATAGCCTTTTGTTATAATATTGGGGCATTTTAGGCCTCAGAAGCAGGGCTCAGAAAATAGAACATCTCTCTCTGAACTTTTCCTGCCCTCCTCTCACTGGCTCCTTTTTCTTCCCAAGGCAGGCCATAGAAACTAAAATACATGATAATCTTTCCCCCTTTTCTGTCTTGATGCTGGCCATAAATTCTCTGACCTATCTTATCTGATTGTAAGTCATAAGACCGACATTTCAGAAGTCCTGCCTCATATTCAGTAGGTAGGAATGCTGTACAGAGAGACCAAGAAGAATCTGAACTGACAGCCTCACTGAGTGTCCCCACTCAGTCTATCAGTATGAGATCAAACTTTTTGTCCGGTCACATTTTACATGGTTGTCCATGCTTCAATCATGCTTACCCAATGAAGTCTCCATAAAGGGTCCAAGAGGATGAGGTACAGAGAACTATGGACGACTGCACTCGTGGAGGCTTGCAGGAAGGAACAAGAACTCACCCATGTGCCAGGATAGTGACATATCCCAACTCCTGGGATAGTGACACAGGAACGAAAGCTCCTGTACCTAGAACACTGCCAGACCTCCCTCTACGTATCTCTTCATCTAGTTGTTTATTGAGTCCTTTAAAATACCCTTTACAATATATTGAGAAATGTGCTTCCCTGAGTTTTATGAGCTGCTCTACCAAACAGCAACAATCAATCAGAAAATTAATCAACAAAACAATAACAAAATAAAACACCCAGAAGTAAAGCTAATAAAAAATGTATAAGATCTTAAAAGAGAAACGGAAACCCTTACCAAAAAAACATAATAGATCTGAATAAATCTTAAGTATGGAAAGACAATTCTTTTTAAGATGCTAATTCTTCCTAATGTGTGGTTAATAAAATCCCAAACGAATTCCAGTATCTCTTCTTAGGGCTTGATAAGCATATTCTAAAATTCAAGCAAATGAGTAAAAGGCCAAGAATAGCCAAGATAACTTTTTAGAGGTAAAAAGATTTGTTCTACTTGGCATTAAGGCTTACTATAAAGCTACATTAATGAAAACATTGAGGCCAGGCGCAGTGGCTCACGCCTGTAATCCCAGCACTTTGGGAGGCCAAGGCAGGTGGATCACGAGGTCAAGAGATTGAGACCATCCTGGTCAAGGAGGTGAAACCCCATCTCTACTAAAAATACAAAAAACTAGCTGGGCATGGTGGTGCGCGCCTGTAGTCCCAGCTACTCGGGAGGCTAAGGCAGGAGAATTGCTTGAACCCAGAAGGTGGAGGTTGCAGTGAGCCGAGATTGTGCCATTGCACTCCAGTCTGGGTAACAACAGCGCAACTCCGTCTCAAAAAAAAAAAAAAGAAAGAAAGAAAAGAAAACATTGAGTATTACTGAAGGAATATGCAAATAGTAGATAAAAGAAACAGTACAGCTGGGCACAGTAGCCCATGCCTGTAATCCCAGCAATTTGGGAGGTCAAGGTGGGCAGATCACCTGAGGTCAAGAGTTTGAGACCAGCCTGGCCAATATGGTGAAACCCCATCTCTACTAAAAATAAAAAATTAGCTGGGTGTAGTGGCATGTACCTGTAGTCCCAGCTACTCAGGAGGCTAAGGCAGGAGAATTTCTTGAACCTGGGAGGCGGAGGCTGCAGTGAGCTGAGATTGTGCCACCACACTCCACCCTGGGTGACAGAGTGGGAGTCCGTCTCAAAAAAGAAAAAGAAACAGTATATACAGAATCCTGACAAGAGCTTATAAATAAATATATTTTTGGTCTATAATGGAGGTAACAATACAAATCAGTGGGAAAGATTAGACTATTCAATGAATTGCATTGGGATAACTGGCTAGCCAAACTAAAATAACAAAACACACACTGAGAGAATAAATTCTAGTTAAAGATTTATACTAAAAAAGCACATTCTTTATGCCCCAGGAATTTCCCTTCTAAGAATCTACCCTGAGAGCCAGGCGTGGTGGCTCACACCTGTAAACCCACCACTTTAGGAGGCCAATATGGGAGGATCACTTGAGCCCAGGAATTCAAGAACAGCTTGGGCAACACAGCAAGACTCCTTTTCTATTTAAAAAATAAAACAAGACTCTACCCTGGAAAAATAGATGCATGGTATACAGACATTTACGTGTGTGTACACTAGAGCACTCTGTAACACAATATTGAAAACAACCTACTTGCCCAACAATAGGCCTAAAGAAAAGTGAAACTGCCTTTGCAGAATTATGACTGAGGCTGTGAAAGAGATCTAAATTAACTGACTCCATCTTGCTTCTCATCTCCAAGCTGGCCTTGTTCATTCATGGGCATAGGCTGAACTAACTTTGGGAGAAACTTTGTTTTCAGTTTAAACAAAGACTAACAGCCTTTCCCAAAGCAGACCTCCTTCTTGCCTGGGGACTAGATTGCCTTTGCAGGACTAACATTAGCCACAAGATTAGAAACATGGTTTAGGAGTCAAGCAGCTGGAGCTACAAGATTCTGACTTACCCTAAACTGCTCCTAAAATCAATGCCTATTTTGCAGAACCTGCACTTGATGGATTAGCTGGCACAACCCAGATTAATAAACTGACTCATTTGATCTTGTGGCCCCCACCCAGGAACTGACTTGGGCACAAGAAGACAGCTGTGACTCCCTATGATCTCTGACCTATCAGCACTCCTGGTTCACTGGCTTCCCCCAACCCACCAAATTATCCTTCAAAACTCTGCTCCCTGAATGGCTGGGGAGACTGATTTGAATATTAATAAATTACTGGTCTCCTGCACAAACCAGCTCTGCATGAATTACTCTTTCTCTATTGTAATTCCCCTGTCTTGAATTGGCTGTCTAGGCAGCAGGCAAAGTTAACCCCTTGGGCGATTATAAATTTGGGGCTTGTCAGGGACTGCCCTTGTGGCTACCTGCCCGTGGTTCAGTGGCCTCCTCCAGTGATGGATCCAGAAGCCAGCCCAAGCAGCTATCTAGTTCTCTTGGACTGGGGGCTGACTCTGGTACTCTCTCTACTGGCAGGGCACTGCCCACCAAATGTGCACAGATTTAACTGCAATGGAGAAACAGTCCTGGGGAGACATCCCTTAACTATAGCCGGATCACACGGTGTCTGTCTGTGGCCCCACTGCAGGGTGTCTGCATTGGTGAGTATCCTAGGTGCCTCCAACACCTCCTTCCTTCTCCCAGCAGGTTCTGCAGTCCTATGGTGTGGTGTCTGTAATCCCATTAGAGTGTCTGTGTCTGTAGCACCATTGTGGATGTCTGTTCAGATCCTGGGGGGTGCTCTTTCTAACTAGTAGGAAGTCCTAGTTTGGAAGACTTCTACTCAAACAGGAAGATTTCGAGGAGGTTTCTCAGAGAATAGGAGGATAATTTGGAAGGGATACTCTTGGTTAGGGATATGATTTGGAAGGCCTTCTGTGGGTCTCGTCTTTGTGTGAATTTGTATGTGTAGAAGGGATCTTAGAGGGGTTGCTGATGGAAGTCCAGCAGGCCTAACTCAAAGAACTCTCCTTGTCTGGTCACATTCAATTGAGCATTAAAGAAGGCTCAATAGGCGTGTCTCTCGAGGTGAATATCTGCTCTTCTTGCCCAGAGATCCCACTATGAATTACCATTTGGAGGTTGTCCCTTCCCACCTGGAATGGATCAAAGAGAACAGGGACCAATGGAAAAAAAGTTTGAGTGTCAACTGGGTGCTGAACAAGGTGACTAATGTCTGTTTTGTTATGTGTGCTTGCTGGGATGGAAAATGTTAATTCAGTTCCCCATGCAGCCTGTTGGGCAGCATCTTGCAAATTAAGAATCTTGCCTATGGTTCCATAAAACAGAAAAGGGCGATTTTCTCTTGTAAAGTGGCTTGAATTCCATAGCTATGGTGCAGTGAGCAGGGTCATCAGAAGCTGCTCCGTTCTTCTGGAAGCTGCAGAGAAATGGAGCCCAGAAACCTGGTATGCTGGCAAAAAAGGGTAAGAAATTCTTATCAGCTACGTTTCTGGTCTCTCTCTCTTTCTCTGTCTGGGTAAATGGTAAATGTCACTATTTGCCCCTCTGCAAGCGTTTGATTAATAGAAAAAGAATTTGCAAGACTAGTCTTAGGTGACAGCAAATCTGGTGTATTTTGGGCTAAGAATTTGTCTTTCTGCGTTCTGTAATGGAGAAAGGAGTATCACAGGAAGAACGTGGGTTTAGGACCCCTGTAAGTCCATTTTTCAAGCCAGCCTAGCAGGCTAGTCAGTTACAAACTTTGCTACAGATCTCTGAAACCAATACTATATGAACTTTTTTTTTTTGGTAGAAACAGGGTTTCACCATGTTGGTCAGGCTGATCTCCAACTCCTGACCTTGTGATCCTCCTGCCTCAGCCACCCAAGTGCTGGGATTATAGGCGTGAACCCAGCCTTTTTTTTTTTTTTTTAAGAGACAGAGTCTTGTTCTGTTGCCCAAGCTGGAGTGCAGTGGCGCAATCTTGGCCCACTGCAACCTCCACCTCCCAGGTTCTAGCAATTCTCCTGCCTCAGCCTCCCGAGTAGCTGGGATTACAGGAATACACTGTCACGCCCAGCGAATATTTAAAATTTTAGTAGAGACGGGGATTTGCTGTGTTTCCCAAGCTGGTCTTGAACTCCTGAGCTCAGATGATGCACCTGCATAGGCCTCCCAAAGTGTCAGGATTACAGGTGTGAGCATGCCTGGCCTTTGTATTGTTTGTGTCCTTGAGAGCTTAATTTTGTGACCATGTGGAGATACTTTCTCTTGGTTTCCACCATCCAGAGGACAGGAATTTTGAGGT